AGTACTCGTTATTGGAGACAAAGGCGGACTGGCATATGAAACAGCTGGCGGTGACCCGGGTCACCCCCCACTCCCAGTACCAAATTTGAATTAATTATCGTTATCGGGAGTTGCATCATAAGTGTAGGACGATTTGTTCAAGACGTACAGCTCTATATCCAAAGCGCTCACCTTTGCTCAATGAGCGACCCTCACCAAAACGTAGACCGCCGTATTGGCGGTACAGGTGGCTCCAGCCAGCCAGCACCGGGTCCAACAGAGCTCTCAGCCACCACACACACAGCAAAGGCTTACACAAACGACTGCAACGCGATCAAGTAGCAGCAAGACAGCTACGAACAGCCCATTCTCAACGTGAGTTCGACAACACGTCCGAATACAACAGCGACCACTTTTGGATGAAGGACTTGGACGTTAGTGGCCGCGTGGGTGCGACAGACGTGGATTCGACCGCCTTTACCATATTAATCACTGACTTGACTATTTTACAAACACTCTAATAATACATATGCATTACGACAGTATAATTGATGTCCGGGTCGTTGTGGTAGCCCGGGTCACCGCCAACTGTTTCATATGGCGAAGTGTCTTGGTCATTCACGTGCGCGAACGAGAACTGGTAATTTGTGCGGATAGTGGTCGTGGAAATAGACCTGCGTGAAGTGGAGGCCATTCGGCAGAAGTTGCCAGAAGCCCGCGTTCTTTGTACGCCTCCATGTCATCAAATGACTGCAAGAAACTATTCGAAAGTCCAGCAAGTACGGGGTGCACGAGGCTGATGTATTGACAAAAAATAAATGAGAGGAGGTAGACAAGATCTGTGGAACTACTTTGAGAAGGACTGGGATGCCTACAAAGTCATGTGGGTGATGGTGTAACGAAAAAGTCTGCCTCACTTCATGAATCACACGAGCAACCGTTAGAAAGGCCTGTTCAACAAAGCGAAGCAGTCGGTAAAGGGCTAGCTCAGTATGAACGCTAGTTTGGAGGCTCTCCTGTCTTTTCAGAGAATCAATACTACTCCAAGGTCAAGATGCCTAGCGCATTGAGGGATACTACTAATCGGAGGAGATGACCATCGTGCTCGGTATGACGATGCGATGGATAGCTGCCATCATCAACACTCAGTAGGACATTGCCAAAGACCCCGAGATTGCAAACTCGTATACACTAGTGGACAATGAAGCGACAGTCATCCTTTACAGAGATGATCACCAGTACATAGACATTTAATTGTAATTGCGAGCTCACGTCTATTATGCAGCTTCGGTGTTGTCATGCAATGCTGTGGGGAAAGGCGAGCGGAAGTCCATTTGGTATTCCATTTGGTGCTAACGGATCCAGGTATGTCTACAATTTTCCATGTTTTCACCCGATGGACCAGTTATTGACCATTAATTTAATCTGTCATATATAGGTGGTACGGGAAGTGTCGTATATCTACGCAGGTATTTGCTGAGATTGAAATACCTTTTGTTACCAAGACCTTTAAAAGAGACGCTTATAGCATACTCGCCAAACCAAACTGAGCACGACAAATATCGCCGGGCTCAGCAAGCCTTGAATCGTATCAGTGGAGACCTCGCTACGACGAGGCCATGGATCGATTCGAGAAGCGGTAACATAACCTTCGGTAAGGCTAGACCTCAATGACACCACAGCAACAGATGAACCGCTCTGAGCATGGTGACCCCAATGATGGAGACAGTGAAAGTGGGGTCATACAGGGGGACAAGTAGCGATGGAGCTGTAGACGAGGCCAGGTTTAGCTCCGGCGGTGGATTTCACTGGTCTGCTGATGCTCCAAGGTCTGGTGAGTTGGAAGATATCTCTTTAGACCAGAAGCCTGTGGTGGCTGCGCAATAAGCGAGCCGATCCAGCGTACTTATCACTATCAAACTTATTAGCATAATTGTTCCTGTGGGGCGGTCTAAAATTATCTGTAAGGAGCAGTAAACCAAGGTAAAGGCCGATTTGATGAAATACAACCAATGAATGAAACAGCGTAGTCTACTTCGAGGTCGGGATGTGCGTGGAGCTGCTAGCGCTTTCAAAGCGATTCAGCCGGGCTTCCACGATGTGGGAATTTCTATCGACGTTTCGAGTGCTTGGCAAGGCTACAAAAAAACTTTCGATGTTATGGCAGCTCTTCGCAAACTACGTTTTGGACAATGGTAGCAACCGACTACCTGAACAAGCGTTTGACTACGCACTTAGGTTGCTGCGTGACTCGGTGACCGGAAAGAAGCACTTTCTGCTGGTCAGCAATTGTAAAGAGGATTTAGTTGCTAGTGCCGTTGTGAAAAGACCAGCATTTACACAAAAGAGCATGTGGAGCAAATGAAGTGGCTGTAAAATCTGCAGGATACACGTCATCATGGTGTGCTGCTGTACACTTGGCTGAGCAGCAACGTGAAGATCCTGGTGGATGCACCTGTGGTTGTTAGTGTGACATTTGACGTCTTCTTGAAAACTTGGCCATGCATGAATATATTCGACATCACGACGCTTATCGCTTCTGCATCCAAGGCTCGACGTGGTTAAATGACGCCACCATGCGTGACTTTTGCATTTTTTTAAATCGTACAAGAACAACTCGACGGTGACGATACCGCCGCCGTTAGGGAGAAATCGCTGAAGAAGCCATCCACGGCGGAGCCGGTGCTCGCGGGGCAGCAGCTACAACATGCTCGCAGCAGTTAGACCAGTTTGTGTTGATGCCAATCAACTTGAGTGGCACCCTCTGGGTGTGTTTTGTGGCCAACGGAACGTCTAAGAAGATTCATCTGTATGACAGGATGGACCCCACCATGTACCCGAAGCACTCGACGACCATTGGGGTTGAGAATGTAGCTGCACTTCCGGAAACGTATTACAAGATCACAGTCTAAGGAGTATGGCGATAGCTGCGGTTTAATTGTGCATTTCCAGCAATGGAAGACGATGCCGGTCGAGGCGCCAATGGACGTGTCTAAGTCTGGTATAACCAAGCTGCGCTGAAAACTTTTGCAAGCGATTTTAAAGGCTAAGCGCCGCTTGAGGTTAAAGAGAAGGATATATACTGGAGATTGGCCAATAATACCTGGTATTTACCTGGATAAAACCTTTTTTTTAAATGTTTTCATACATCTCTCTAGCAGTAATCTCGAATGTCAGCAATGCACGTCTTTCGTCACTTTGACTTTCAATCGTTTTAAAGCATAAATCGAGCATGGTCGGAGCATAAAACCACGCGTAAAATTGAGATGGGAGGAGGTAGGTATTGATTTGTTTTATCTGTGATCGAATTACCGTTTCAAAGCGGCAAAAAGGGTCGATTCACAGAATATTGATGCGGAGTTGTTGGCTGAGCCTTACGTGTTCAGTTTGGCTCCATAGTTATTAGGAAACCCTGACGCCCCCCCCTTCCTTCCAGATCCCAGAGTTTTTATAGATAGTCGTCTAGTTAGTAAGTGGCCAGAATCATTCTCATTCGCCATTTAAGGATAAATTTGCAAATATCGTAAGTACTCCACCGGACTCCTAGCTGAAGCCTTATTATTACGTAGTAACAGCAGGCAACGAAGGAGCACACATATACACGTATATTCGAGGCCAGACAGTCCCACACGCGTCCGGCTGGAGGGCTGACTGGGTTACTGAGCTACTCTAACAATTGCGATGTGTGACTCTCAGGGGTCTGAATAATTTTTTTAGTATCACTAAAATCAGTTTTATAAAATATAAAAACGGATTACTGCAACCTTCTTAAAAATATGAATATGATATTGCTCCAATATTTCCAGTATAATTTACAAAAGTAGGCTCATAGAAACTTTAGATACGAAGCAATTGGACGTCTCAGCACCGTATCTTGATGTCTGTTTAGCCCATACTAGCTCTTTGTTATGAATCTGATAGCCAATCATTATCTCAGAGTAGCAACTTGCAATGATCAACGGAGGTGTCCATTCAGCTGCAGAAGCTGCAGCGGTCAAGTGATTCGAGACCTGAAGCAGTTGTAGCAAGATGAAGACATGCAAGGAAGATTACGCGACGCATATTCTTTGTGCTGGTCCAAGCAAGAGCGCTAAGCATGGAGGAGATAGTGGTGATATTATCAACAGTGAGTTGTAGAAGCAGCTACCCCCAACATCAAATGCATGCGAGCGGTTATTCTCGCAGTGTAAGCTGGTGCTTACACCTTAGCGAACATGCATGTTACCTGCCAATTTTGAGCTGATTATGTTTTTGCATGCAAACAGGGATTTATTGGATGTGACGAGGTTAGCTTCAGTTGGAAGTGACGCAGAGCTGTAGGCAATACTGCAATACTTACTGCAGTTTTTTTATTGGTAATTGTGGAATTTCACTTTTTATTATTGCGCGGGCCCACCGTCAATTCTGTATAATACTGTATTGGAGAACCCCTGGTGACTCTAGCCACTAGCCAATGTGTTAGAAACGATCTTCTAACTTCCGCTACTATTAATAAGAGTATTAGTATCAAAAACACCAGTGCTGACACTGCTGGGCTGTGATCACCCGTCCTTAAGTAGCGAGGCTGTGCAGAGAGAAGTGCACCCGATGCTATTATTGTAAAAATTAACAATATTCCGACATTTCTTTGTCCTTCCACGTTCCAACTACCAATTAACCTATAAGTAGAGGTTATTATGGTGCTGGCAGTATCGAATGAGCTGTTAGCATCGCGTAATATCAGCACCAATCTCTGACTAGACAAATCCATGGGCTCCGACAGGGTGGCAGTAAGGTAAAATGCCAGTTTAAGTCAGTGACAGATGACCAACTTTAAAAGCTCATAATTTTCAACGGACATTGAAGACGAGAATAAAACAACCACGACTGGAATTAGCAGAATCTCGTCTTTCTTATTGTTAGCCCAACACATTAATTGAGTACTATTCGGCCATCAGTGGCGGTTTGAAATTACCATCTTTTTTCGTCGTGTGCCAGTTTAAGGCAATTTTAAACTTGACTTGAGTATGGAAAAGAGGCTTTTATGTACGATCGTGCACGTCCTGTTACATTTCTGTAAATTCCGATTAGAACCCACGTAAAATTATAACCTTGACTTGGATGAAAATAGATGGTGTATTAAAATCCGGAGTATTTAGAAGCTCACCTCGAACAGAACCGTATCACTGCTAGCAACTTCTGAGTGCTGCTGCACTAGCACCAATTCGCTCTCCATGCCTTGTTCCTCTTCGTGAATGTGCTCGTTCTCGTGGTTGTGATAGTGGTATTGCTTTTGATGAAGCTCCTGGTCCTGGTGGTGCATACCACTCGCTGTCATTTTTGTAGAAATTCTGTCTCTCTGCGATTTTCTTGTTCGCTTCGGCGCGTTTCGTTGGGAGGGCTGGTCAGGTTGCTGAAGCATCTCACGCGTTAACAATCTACCAGCCACTGTCTTGGTTTTTCTTTTCCTACTCTGCTTGTGTTGGCGAGCAGGCAGAAGCAAGATATCGTGCTGTACTGTCTCCTTGTATCGCAGCCAAGAAGTCTTTTTGACGGTGGCGGAAACTCCGTTGTGTTGGAAATTGTGTAGCTTCTCGTGCATTTTTACAAGATTTAGCGGGAAAATGCCGCAGCTCTGAAATCCAGATGAGATATTGCTGTTGAAATTGCAACTTGTCCACGCTAGTGCGGTCATTTGAAGAGCCTTTTCCTTGCTGATAGTATTAATCCCGTTAGCTCGAATGATAGCATCAATAAGATCTTGGAGCGTATTTTTGAACGAAGAAAACACGGCAGTATCCAATGGCTGCAGTAAGTGTGTGCCGTTGGCAGGTAGGCACACCAATCTGGTCTGCATCCGATCAGCGGTCTCAACTATTTCGGCTGCAATATGAGAAGAACAGCCATTCATGACGAGAAGTAGCGGTCGCTTGACAGGTGTGGGCACCGACAAAGCGATAAAAACAATCCATTTTGCGAATAGCGTCGCTGTCATAAATGCCTTTGGAGTAGCTGTCACTGCTGCTCCATGAATACTGCATTGCTCTAAGAGTTCGGTCTCACACGCTCACCGGGTAGAATGAATAACGGAGGAACGACGAAACCACTAGCGCTACCGCACGCTACAATCGAGATGAAAGCTGGTAGTAGGATCCGTATGCCATACGCTCTTGGATCCTTTAAGTGCTATGACCCGTGTGATTTTACGAGAGCTTTCAAATGCAGTTTCGTCCATGTTGAAAATGCGGCTCCCATCCATGTTCTCCTCCACGATAGCCTTAGCCAAAGAACTGAAAAGTGTAGCCACCTCCACTTCAGTCACATTATTGCGCACCTTTGACACCGACTGAGAAGCACGAGAGCTCAAGTCATGAAATCTTCCTTTAAACCGACGGTACCATCCCATGCCTACTGGTTCGCCTGTAACTAGCTTGGAAATCTGTTGAGCTTTTCTGACGATATCCTTCCTTCCAACCGGAGCTCCCTCAACTTGTTGACCCACAACCCATTCGTAAATATTTTTTCGGCTTCCTTGGGCAGAGTGGGAAGGTGTACGGGCCAGTATTCCCGTTCTCACGCCAATTAACGTCCTCTCCAACCCACCGGAACAAGTTTCGAACTGGAACACCGCTCTCCTCGCCAATAGCTTCAATGTTGCCTCCCTCGCGAATAGACCTCACCAATTCCATCTTCTTCTTGCTGATATACGTTGTGCGACGCTCCATGGTTGGAAGCCAGATCAAAACTGACAGGTATTCGTGGAGGCGAGCGCCGCTCTAAAAATAACCAATCAGATGCATCTACGACTGCTATTGGTGCGCCTTAAACTGATCCAAATGACTTAAACCGGCATTTTACCTTAGAGCTTATAATACGGGCACACCATCCACGTATAGTCTTCCTTACAGATGTTGAAGTTCCAGGATATGGTAATCTCGCAATAAATCATCCCGTCGCTGTACGTCGTCTATTTTCGCGGTTATTATTCACTTCTTATTTTCGGACCGCTTCGTTATGGTACTCACCATGGCCAAGCCATCATCAAGTACGTCAGCAACTCCAAGTCAAAAGTGACGAGGCGTCATCTACTGCGCACGTGTCAAGGGGAGACGCAATCACACCTCGACCGCTACGCTCTCCACGATGACGGACTGTAGCCGTGTCTGCAGCCTCATAACTCAAAAGTCGCAGCAAGACTCAAGTCCTCACCAGCACCACTATACTACAAACCATGTCTGTCTACACCAAGTTCGCTATTATCGGAGCCGGTGGCGTCGGCGGTACAGTCGCGGATGAGCTGCTCAGGAAGGGCGACGCAGTGTCCGTCGCTATCCTCACGCGTGACGCGTCCAAGCCGGAGCTGCAGGCCTTGAAGGCTCGTGGTGCCACGCTGCACCAGGTTTCGTACGAGGACGAGGACGCCGTCAAGAAGGTGCTCAGCGGCAGTGAAGTGGCTGTCAGCACCGTGTCGCCCTTCAACATGGCAGTGCAGAAGGCCATCGTCCCTGCAGCCAATCCAGCTGCTCGTGCTTGCCGAGTACGGCGTCAAGGTGACGGAGGGCCCGAACGTGACCAAGAAGGAGGTGCAGGACCTGCTGACACAGCACCAGATCCCCTTCACCATCTTCTACACGGGTCTCTTTGCCGAGTTCCTGCCCTTCTTCCTGGACTTCCACTACGACGAAGGCTACATGAACGTGGTGGGCAAGGGCGAGACGGCCTTCAGCATCACGGCGCGCACGGATGTGCGTCGCTTCGTGGCTCACGTGCTGTCGACGGCCCCCAAGAGCGCACTGGAAGGCGCCAAGATCCCGTTCGAGGCCGAGCGTCTGTCGCCTCTGCAGATCCGCGACCTGGTGGAGAAGAAACTGAACAAGAAGATCGAGATCCGCCACGTCGACTACGAGGAGAACAAGAAAAAGTTCGACACGGACTTTGCGGCCTTCCTCACGACCCTCTTCGAGGAAGGGCGCGGTGTGGCCGGCACGGAGCAGGAGGTGCACGAGAGCGTGGCCAAGTTCTTCCCAGACTGGAACCCGGCTAAGTACGAGTCCTTCATCGCGTAATCGAGAACCTCGAGTTAACGAGCTACAGTACTAATCCAGTATACGTATGTTAACTGCTCGCATCGAAGTTGTCTTAAAATCAAGGGATTTACAGCTACTATTACAGTAACGCTTTGCTCAAGACTTCTTGTTGTAACATCCGTTTGATGATGTTGTTTTCTTCTCCGTCTTCTACGTTCAGAGCCTTGTTAGTCTTCTAACTTGAGGAGGAATCTCTGATGAATGTTGGTCTCTCCATTGAAGTGAGCTGTTAGCTTTTACCCAACTTCGTGGCTTCCGATGCACTCGTGGCCAGCAGAGTGATGAAAAGTAAGTGCGAGTATTGCTATAGCCGGAGTAAAAAAAAACGTGTTCGAAGCATCAATGGCAGATGAGAATTGTCGACGAGGACAAAAGAAGACAACTGTCTGACTTCATTAGCGTTCTCATCACGCGTGACTCATCACTCCGCCAGTTTAAAACGTCATTTCAAGTGCTTAGAAAGCTGGACGTGATGGGCTGCAAAGGCGACTCCTGATCCAAGTTGCCTTCCGCCGTCTCTCCACCTGCAGCGCTTGAATTGTACGAGTCACTTCATGCTGAATGTCACGAGCAACTCGTCTGCGTCTGTTTTGCTGCATTTTAGACGGCAATCGATCGTTTCGTGGGTATTTGCTTTCTTTGACTGGAGCTCGCGTCTTGTGAGACGATTTGATCAATCCTGGGGAAGGACATGACATAGACGGAGAGCCGCTCTTGCGATGGTCCATACGTTGTCCGTCGCTCTCTGATCCGCTACCATCCTCGACTTCACTGTCACTGGAGCAGTTCGCAACTTGTATCCACCCTCGGGTATTGACCTCTTGCACCCTTTTGGTGCTAATTGGATGTCGTTCTGGTCTCTCCCACCCTCGCTCAGGATAGTTGCGTTGACGAACGCTCCCCTTGTCGACATGGAGACTAGGAACTTGCCCTCCCAGAGGTCCCATCCGACGATCAAATCGACCCTCGGTCTCAGTCTGTGTCATATTGTTATAGCACGTTTCGTCACCGTCCTCTATCTCCGTTCGGTTCTCCATCGTCGCCATCAAACGGTTCAGCGACTGGCTGCACCAGAGTCGATCCTGCAGCCTTCGTCCTTCGTCGAGCCAACCTTCGACGTCGTCAAGGGATGAAAGCCCCATCACTCGTCGTCTCGCTGTCTCCGCGTCTTCCGTTGCGCGCTGCTTCTCCTCGTTTTCTTTCTGTAGTTGCGCTTGCTGTTGCTCTTGCTCCGCTTGCTCCCGTTGTTGCGTCTCCTTCATCTCATCAGCTTCTTTCGTGTCAATAGCGAGGACGTGCCTGAGTTTGAGCATAGTCAGGTCCAGCTTCTCTAACACCTGCCGCTGTAGTACTTCCTCGAAAGACGATTCCGTTTCTGATGACTCAACGTTTACAGTGGGATCTTCGGGCTCTTCAGATAAAGATACGTTGTCCTGTACAGGGTCCACCTTGAGGTTGTCTTGAACCCAGTCGACGTTACGCCACGAGATGCCAACACCCGGTTCCTGATTGGACGCTGCTGTCGCGGTCATTCTTGCTTCGATCTCTTGGATTCTGCGCTCTGTGACGCTCCGTAGTGCTCTGATCTCGGCATCAACCTTCAATTCATTGTGTGATATGTCAGCACTGTCGAGTTGTTGTAGCACGTTTTCAATGTCAGTTGAGCACGTGAGGAGTTTGCCCTGCATGGGGATCAGTCGGAGTATCTCCATCTCGCTCTCCTTTGCCTCGTTCTCCTCTGTCTTCTTCTCCTCTTCAGCTGCTTCTTTCTCTCGCTTCTCCGCGTCTTTCGCAGCTGCTGCGGCGTCTTCGTCGGCCTTCAAATCGGCCTTACGACGCTCCGTCATGTCGGCGAACGTCAGATCCAGCTGCGACACGATCGTCTGAGTGGCACATTGCAGCTCAGCACTCGCTGCGTCCCGTATTGCCGCGTCACCTTTACTCGTCTCCTCTTTGAGTGTTTTGGCTTCCTCGTCTGCCCCCACTTTGCCCTCAAATGGCTTCAAGGCCTCTAGAAGCAGTTCACTGATGGTGTTCGAAGCGTTCCGGACGCGCAACGCAGTCACGGAACAAAAGTCGGAACTTTCCTCTTTTTCGGACTCTTTCTCGGCTGTTTTAGTGGCCATTGAGCTCAGCCGACGACTCTCTCGGAGCTTCCGGATCTCCTCAGCGAATGAGTCTTCCTCATCGTCTTCGGAATCTTCCGGAGGTGGAGGTGGTGGAGGCGACTCCGGCGTGGATGCTCTAATTTTTCTCTCTCTGGGGATTCGAAGTCGAAGCGAGGAACGGAGATTCTTTGGCGATGTCTTCCCGAAGCGCGTACTTTGTCGAATCACGTTCGAAACATCGTCGGTTGCTGATGATTTTGCCTTGACTCGACTGCCAGTAGAGATCAAATCATTGAGATCGCGGATCTCTTTCCCAATCAACGCGTCGATGGAGTCTTCATCGGGCGTTCCAGACGTGTAGATGTCATTCGATACAGATAGCGGAGAAGATGTGGTCGAGGAAGACGTGACTGGAGAGAGCGAAGGTGGAGTAAGTGATGGTGAGGACAAGACAGGCGACTTATCTTGACGTTTGCGCATTTGAGTCGACCTCGTTGGTTTGGCTTGCGTTGATACAGAAGAGCAGGCGCTGCAGCGTTTACTCGCGAATGAAGGTCGATTCCTAAGTACGTGCTCGATTCGAGGCATAGGGGACACTGCGGCTTCGTCGTCACTGGAGTCGTCACGTTTCATGGTCTTAAAAGTTGGACTAGTTGCTTTTATCTTCGTGGACTGTGGTCTCAACGCGCGCTGACGATTAGTGTCTGCTTTTGCTTTTGAGTTCTTTGAAGGTGGCGTTTTTGATTGTGACGGGGCGTTGGAGCTTCGTTTACTTTGGCTCAACCTTGATCGACTTCTTGTGGCACTCTGCTGGAAGTCGGAGATGAGTTCATCAAGCGACATTTCGTCCTTGTCTTCGTAATCGTTTTGCCAGCTTCTTAAAGCCTTGGACGCAGACATCTTCTTGTCCTCGGTCGAAGATGCGAAGGACAACTCGAGAAACATCGGCGGAGAGATGGAACTACGTTATAATGAAGGAGCTGGCTTTGCCTGCCAGGCAACGCGGTCCGTTGCGGACAGTATCCCATTCCGTTTCGACTGAGCTATTCTAGGCATTTTGTCATACATTTCGAAATGAACGACTAGGTTGCATTGCTAAATGTCCTGCATCGTGCCCTGCTGAGGACCAACCTGCGCATTGTTATTAGCGGGCGATTATCTTGCTTGGGGCCAAGATCCATCTTAGATGGGTTGATGGAGGGTGATGCTAATTGATTGTGAAGTAATGATTATCGGAAGTTAGAAAATACGCTAATTAGGTAAAGTAGCGTATTTATTATTACAGTACCTCCGCTCGGAAAATAAATCACCTTACCAGTAAGATTACAGACTGCTTAAACTCCATACCCTTGTAAAAGTGTTTTAGCAGTGTGCCATGTAGCTAAACTGATTCCCGCGGTACCCCGTCTAAGGCGATGTATTTCCTGCAAGGCTGTTGGCTGTTTGAATCTCCCGCCCATTTGCCATCGCTCACTTCGTTCGTGCGGTGGCCCCCTACAGCTAAAGGTGGAATGCGAGAGGACAGGTGAGTCAGCAAGGGCATCGCTTTCGCTATTAATGATCCTAATCATGTGTCCATCGTGACAGACGTTGGTGTGCGCTGGGCTGGCTGCTGAAGGCAACGTTAGCTGCTAGACACCTTGCAACGGCCCCCGCTTATTGCATGTGATAGTGAAGGTATGGACACCTAACATGTCCACTTTGCTGATGCCGGTCAAGGCCTGTGTATCGAGCGGATGATTGCGACGAAGTTTTCACGCTTGTCGCTCAACGACATCCGCTGTCGTGAATCAAGTCTAGCGCATGCTCGAGGCAAAACGTCTCTGCAGTGGCTTACGGATTCAGTAGTCTTTACGAACTTGCTGCTGAAATGGCGAACAAGAACGCCTGCAGCTACACTGATGTGGTGGAACAAGCACACCCGCAGTTGAGCAATCTGAACGGGTCTATTATCGTTTCAAAGGTCAAAGCTCCTTGAATGCAGTCTTGCTTGGCACAGCTAAGGTGGCAGCACAGTACCGGATCAGTAGCCCTCCGCAAACTTTATAATCATGGTAAAGAACGAGGCGGAGCGCTGCGAAATATTTTTTTGAAAGGTGATTTATTTTCTGAGCGGAGGTGGTATCTTAGCAAGGATTACGGTAACGAAGCGAAATTTCTTTTGAGTCGAGAGTGTACGTATACTTGTAGTACAGACAAACGCAAACTCATTTCCAGTTTTGCTCATCAAGCGTCAAGACCCCGCACGCACACAACTGCCAAAGGATTCCAAGCATGCGCACACGCTTCGCCTTCCTAGTGGCTACATTTTTTATTTCCGCGTGTACAGCAAATGGGCTGGAAGCTACGGAGTCGACTGATACTCAGACCTCGAAACAAGTTTTGCCAAAAGCCGCTCACTCTATCAAAGCAATTGGTGGAAGCTTCAATAGATTCCTTAGGAGTCCCGGAGGTGAAGAAGACGAAGAGAGAACCCCATTTTCATTTGGGCAAGTGAAAAACATCATGGAAAAATTGAAGGGAAAGACCATGGAAGAGGCCTTGCACCATTTGCAATATCTGCGCCTCCCCTCGGACCAACGCGAAGCACTTTTGACGGTGCATCTCGCAAATGCTGCCAAACCGGCACGCAACGCGTAAATGACCCGGATGGCCGACTATCACATAATTCGTGACTAAAACATTGTCGTAAAAGTCCTACAGTGTTGACATCTCGAGCGATTAGCTAAGCTGTATAGCTGAAGTCGGTATTAACCCCCCCAAAGCGACGGCCTGTATTATACACGTTTCGTAGGGAGGGCTTATCCTGTATAATACACGATAAATGGTGCATGACTGATCTGCTAGTTTTTCACCTTGTTTTTGTATACGGTCATACAAACGCTAAGCCAAAGAGGGATAGGTATGTGAAGCCTGATCCCCATCCTTCCTGGTGCGATGTGCGCAGGCGGTGCATTGCACAATTTTTCATAAAATAAAATTTTTGAGGAAACTCAGCGATATGTGGTTCACGCCAAATCAATATAAGAAACTGCAGGGATTTTCAACGCCACTCATTTTGGCGCTCATTTCAAAAAACTCCCGCTCCCAGTCAGATGTCGGGTTTTCGGGCCCGGTGGAAGGAACTACGGCAAGAAGGCTGGTCTTCCAAGCCTCCTACAGGCCTCTCAAATGACCACACCTATCTGAAGCCCGGTAAAAGCAAGACAGACGTCCGCGGAATAGACTTCTTTGTAGGGGAGAAGGAGCTGATGTCGTATTTGGATCGACTAGACCTTGGTAAGTTGTTTATTCTAACGATGTATTGAAAACTTGAGCCTAACCGTTGACGCGTGTATAGATGAGCTTGCAAGGCAAAAGGAAGATGAACGACAGACCGACGACGCCACACACGCATCCTCGAGGCAAGACGATGGAGCCACTCCACCTGATGACGCTACTACACCTCCAACAGGTATATTTTACAACGCCTGTACATTACACCGTACCTGTCTAACACTATCGTGTATTGTGCAGTTAGTACAGTGCGTGAAGAGCCGCTCTCAACCACCCCAGTACGACAACAGACGCACCCCAGCTCTCCAATGCAATCTCACTCCAGTGCACCGCTAATTACTACTTCGCCGCATGAAGCTGACGACGATATCGATGCTTTATTTTCGTCAAGTCCAGACACACCCGGTACATTTACTGTGCCATCCATACAATTCGAAGGTGTTGTAGCTAACTCTTTTCAACGTTGTATTTTTCCAGTTGTGCCAACCACTTCAAGGCGCAATCTGTATGAACTGTTTGGGTGATGAGTCAGATGACTCTAACGACTCTCCGCAAAGCCCCACAAATGTGCAACAGTCCGCAGACGGCGATCGCGTGGACGCGGCATCGAGCGGTGCGTTTTCCTGTTCGGCTTTATCTGGTAGGTTCAAACGTGTATGTACACGATATACAATTCCTTTGTATACATGATACACATACATGATAATAACAACTATCATGTATATTTTTAACAGACGATCCTAACATTGTAACGCCCGGCGATGACAAGTATGTCTTTGCAAGTCTTGATTCGGACGAGGAGGGGGGAGGATTCTCTGTGTACGACGATGATGAAGAGCTGGAGCTCGCTGAGCCTGATCCCAGCATTGAAGATGAAGATGTCGTTCCACCTGAGCTTCCATTTGATGCGTCTCTACTTGAAGCAGTAGGTGGTGTTCACGAGATTGCACGTGGCAACCTCAAGGCTGATGTTTTAGCCGACATGAAGGAGAACGGGTGGTCTCCAGTACACAATCAGACGCCTTACCCATACATGGATGAACCCTACGACATGCGTCGCGATGATTGGGCAAATATTGACTATCCGGATCTATTTCGCGGTGAACATGGACCAACTGCTGCAGCGTTGAGCGCTGCCGAGACCCCAATTGGTGCATTTTTTCAGTTCGTCCCGCCGTACTTACTAGAAAGAATTGCGGGTGCTAGTAACGACTACTTTATGGAGAACCTGGACGCGCGAGTGGAGAGTCTACACGCCAAGCAGCTAGATAGGAAGCTGAAAAGGCCTGATTTCCATGTCTCACCTCCGGATATCATAAAGACTAAGCTGCTGAACACGAAGGACATTTCAGGACGAGAAATTGCTATTTTTCTTGGATTACGTATTGCAAGAACCATAGCTCCCAACAAAGAGAGGTTTGATAACCTACAGATGAAGGTGCTATTCCTCGTGGCTGTTTTAACGCATTTATGACTAGAGATCGCTTCTATCATATCTCGCGGAATCTCCACTTTAGCAGCAATGCTGACGCAAGAGCGCATACCGATCGAGCTTGGAAACTCCGCCCGGTGATTGACGTGCTGCAAGAAACATTTCAGGCCAGTTTCATCCCACCTCCAATAATGGCGTTTGACGAAGCGATGCTTCCGTGCACGTCTCCGTTCAACAAGATGAGAATCTTCATGAAGGACAAGCCCCATCGCTGGGGCACAAAGCTTTTTATGCTGTGCTGTTCCAAGTCTGCATACTGCATCAGGTAAGGAAAAGAGCGTGCCTTCGGGCACGCTCTTTTTTTTTTTGGTTTCAAAGTTACCTTATCGTGTCTTCGGCGTGCTAAAACCTTTTGAACTATTGTGTATATTACAGGTTTGAAGTCTATTGTGGAAAGCAACAAATGCAAGACAGTAGCACACCCAGTGATGAAAAATCGGGACCTGCCGCAGTCGTACGGAGCTTACGTCAAGTCTTTGGCGTCAACGGACCAACTGAGCGACGTCTCATAGTCACCGACAGGTTTTACACCTCTGTCGTGCTGGCTATGCAGCTGCTGACCATGAACTTTTACAGTTTGGGCACAATAATGACGAACAGAAAGGGGCTGTGCAAAGCAATTCTACCAAAGAAGACTAAAAACGGCAGGAAGGAATCAAAGAAGCGACCAGCACAGATCGTCAAAGGAACGTATGACGTAGCCACCCTCCAAAAGGTGCCATCGATCAAGGCCGTCCGTTGGTGGGATGATCAAGCGGTGTATCTGCTTGCTGCTGGAGGAAGTGCAGTACCAGACCGTATCGTGCGTAGGAATCCAGTAGCTGGAGATCCGACAGAGTTGATGTGTCCACGGATCGTTAAAGACTATCAGACTTTCATGGGCGGAGTCGACGTTCACGACCAGTTACGTCTACAACGGCAAGTATTCATATCCTGTATAAACACGTTGAAGTCATCGTTTTAACATGTATTGTACGTATTATTAGGTATTCACTGCAATTGGCTCGGCGCTACAAGAAGTACTACAAATCTCTCTTTCTGGGACTAATAGACATGGCTATCATTAATGCTTTCATCGTGCACAATTACCATCGAGCGGCAACCGGGAAGCCAAGGGTTTCCCACGTGACGTTTCTGAAGACGCTTCATCTAGAGCTCTGTCAGTTGCTACTGGAAGATTGGGTGCAGCTTCTTCGCCACCGCGGGCATCACGCGACGCCAACGCGGGCACGACAAGCTCGGGCGGCGCACATGCCTGTACAGGCCGACGAGTGGCGCAAAGGAAACTCCGATAAGACGAGAAAGCGTAGGCAGCGTGCGTGCAAGGTTTGTTCGGTGCTAAAAGGCGCTGCCACGTCTCGAGGAGGGGAAACGACATTCTACTGTGCTGAATGTAAGCTGAAAACAACATCAAGACACGAGTTAGCCGCACGCGTATTCCGCTGCAACAAGGTGAAGCATTGCAGCAAAGGCGAACCTACTTCGTGCTGGGATATCTGGCATAAACACTGGAAAAATGGAACTATGATCCCTCAATCAGGACGCAAGCGCAAAATTCGAGCCCGGAAGCCCGCACGCGCTGCAAGTGACGGTGGCTCTGATGCCAGCGACTCGGAGTCGCAGTCTAGAGCTGAAATCGGAAGTGTTTCCTCTCAGGGTCGTTCGGGATGGCGGCCACACACCAACGATGACGGCATCTAGTGAGATCGTCGTCAGAGCACATATTCCGGCTTCAAAAATAACTTGATTTGAATATATGTTTTTTGTGCAGATCGCCATGTGGAATCCTTCTCTAAATATCGACAAAAATATGACCCGTCACTCCCCGCTAGATGTGTTTTTGTACAAATGTTGTGTTGTCTTTGTTCACTCAGGACACGATATCAGCGTTATCGCGTACAGTGCAGACATGTTAGTATACCTGATACACGATATCGAGAAATGAAGACCCTAGGGGTGGGGCGCTGTACCGACTCTGCTAAATACACGATAAAATATAGCTGGGTCTTACTATTGTAACCCACTATCCATAACGTGTATGGGGTTTCGGTAAATAGGCGCAACGAAATCCGCTCGCTTTGGGGGGGGTTAATAAAACACACGGTTCGGACCTGATTGACGTGTCCTTCTGATTGGAAATTGGCTGGCGTTTGACCTTCAAACATTTGCACATTTCCAGAACCGTATAATTCGCTAAGCTATCTTTAACTTTACTACTGTTGTGTTATTAAAAATAGTAGTACACACTTCAAATATTTTGATATCTGCCTGTCGTTCCGGCTAGACATCTCTGATGAAAACAAAAGCTTACTTTTCCCAACAGAATCTGTTACAGCGAGGCACAGAATCCCTGAATTTCCATAGCACATTTTTCACACCTCTATATTATCAAGTGTTCGTGCAAAACCCAATTTTTTTATTCAACGTCATGATACAAAGCCTGTATACGAACTTAGTCACAAGTGTTCTGTGTCGATGGTACCGTAGCCTGAAGTGTATGATAGGGCAGCTACTGAATGATTGACGAGCTGAGTTGCAGGCCGGTGCGTCGACTAAGGCAGTTGGCAGCGCCAAATATAAAAACAGCATCAAGAGTGATCTTCCTTTAAAAGCGAGCAGAATCCACGGCGATTGGCAGCTTTTCTAAAACCGATGCAGGTGCCGCTTCTGCAGCCCAAGTTGTTAAATATATAAATTATGTACTAATGTTTAATATTGTTTAGAGCAATAATGACATTCACATATATTCTATGCAGTATCCAGTCATTGCCACCGCCGACTCCGAGTGGTGAGTGGTTTCAGTCTGGCTGCGACAGTGGCAGTGGTCGGATGTAAATGCTGGATGCATTTGTCGGAGCCGTCCAGAGTCGGG